TCACACATGCTAAGCACAACTCTTCTATTAAAAACTATAACCCCAGCCCATGTTTTTATGTCTTAAGGACATACTGCCCTAACAAAAATATTTACACAATAGATAATATTATAAGATAATTTATTTATTTTTATATTTTTTGGTAGCTGGGATTGAATCCAGGGGCGCTTAATTACTGAGCCACACCCCCAGCCCTTTTTATTTTTTATTTTTTATTTATTTATTTATTTTTTAAAATTTTTTTTATTATTGGTTGTTCACAACATTACAAAGCTCTTGACATATCATATTTCATACATTAGATTGAAGTGGGTTATGGGAGGGGAGGGGAGGAGGGATAGTAGGGGATAGGAAAGGTAGCAGAATACAACAATTACTAATTGGGCATTATGTAAAATTGTGGATTTATAACCGACATGATTCTGCAATCTGCATTTGGGGTAAAACTGGGAGTTCATAACCCTTTTTATTTTTTTCCTTTGAGACAGGGTCTTGCTAAGTTGCTTAGGACCTTGCTAAGTGGCTGAGGCTGGCTTTGAACTTGTGATTGCCCTGTCTCAGCTGGTATTACAGCTGGTATTACAGGCACAAGCCACCACACCAGCACAAATTAATATTATTAAAARTAATAAAATTAATATTATTAAAAGTAATAGATCATAGAACATAATATCTGGAACCATCACTCAAGTACTCTCCCTATTGTCTAGGCACATTAAAACCTTAATGAGCTTATTTGATCTTTAAGTTATTCATGAATTGGGCAGTACTAGAGCACACATAGTTCAGTGCTCTACCAAAGGAACAGGGGGAAGAAACTTTTATAAGGCATTTGTGGAAATAAGATAAAAAGTATTCTATTGGTTAAAGTGCAAAGTCCCTAGTTAGAGGTTGTTTGGCAATTTCTGCTTAGTAAAGTCTCTGGCTAGGTGTTAGATGGTGGTTTCTGATGGGTTAAACTTAAGTTAACATTTAGTTGGRTTTCAGTTTGCTTATGAAGGAACCCAATGCACTGGAATCATCTGAGCCTAGAGGCCTCTCAAATAATTATTTCAAGAAATATATGGACAAAAATTCACCTGTGAACAGTGTGCTCTAAAGCAGCTTTCAGTAGTCTGGATCCTGGAGAGGAAGACATGAAGATGAAGWTAAATGTGTAAGAAAAATGAATTATCTGTGTGAGAAAACTGGGAAGGAGACTGAAGAGACCCAGTGAATCATCAAATATGAATATGACCCTGAGTGAATGAGGAAAACAAAGGAAAAGGAGGAAAGTTGTATGACAGTAGTTTTAAGGAAAGTTCAGCAGAGTTTGGAGCTCAAGTCTCGCATCAGAGGAGTGTCATATCTCCCAAGAATAAGCCTGCTGTTCTAATTCTGCCAGGTTCTCACCTGATAGCAGTCCATGAAGAATATGGTCTTGTTCACTGTAGTAATAGATCATAGAACATAATATCTGGAACCATCACTCAAGTACTCTCCCTATTGTCTAAGATCTAAGAGGTGTTTTCTTTTGGTCATCATGCAAGGTTCTCAAAATTTAATATGCTTGCAAATCTCCTAGGAATCTTAAAAAGCAGATTTTKTAGATCTGAAAGGGGGCCAATTTTCTGTAGTTCTAAGAAGCATTCTTTAAAGATGATGCTGTTGGGTGCTAGATCTCACTTTGAGTAGCAAGGGCCTAGAGACACTTGGAAGATCCCATACAAACCATAGGTTTATAAACTCTTCACAGACTTAATATCTTAGCTCCGATGACACAACTGTAGTTGTCAGATACACACAATTTCATGTTAGGTTTTTTCCCATTAACTTACCCCCACCCCTCCCATAAAATCTCAGCTGCCAAACCCTTCACATTACCTGCATAACCATTTATTACCATCTCTGTATCTTCTACATATGTGTACTCATTTTGGTATCAAGATAGGGCTTTGGTATTCTCTAATCCCAATCATATACCTTTGGTTTAGATTGTTTCTCAATAGTAAGCAAAAAGTTTCAAGTTGTTAAAATATAAACTTAGGCACATTAAAACACCAACAATATTGGCTCCAAAATCCGTACTGTGTAGAAATTCTGGTGCAGCCATTCACCATTTCTCTTCTAGGTGGGAGTCCTGAGGGATTCAGCCACATATATTTCCTCCACATTGTCTCAGGACTTCTGCAGTTATCATCCTAACCATGTGTCTGTCCATCTCTCTTTAACAGGATCTGTTCCCTTCCTTACTCTAGTCACAGACTTATTGACATATTTTGGTTCAATTCCTTACATACTATTGTTTAAGACAGTGATGTTCATATTTTTCTGAAGCCATTGAATTATTTTTTCAAACAAAACTTAAGTAAAATAGATTAAGTAGGTATGACTGAAACAAATGGGAGACAAAATTAGAGAGAAGGCCAGAAACATACTTTGTGAGTTAAGGTGTTTAAGTGTTATTATGAGAGCTAGGGGGAGTGGTGAATGGTTTCAAGGAAGGAGAGACATGACCAGAATTATGTATTTTGAATGATTACTTCAGCAGAGAAGTAAGAATAACTTGAAGAGTATCCAGATGGAATCAGAGACAGGAAGGAGAATAAGAAGGATTACAARAGATATTAAGCAACTGGAATTATAAGAACATGCTGTCTGGAGATGGAGTTAAGAAAAGAGTATAGAGTGAATTTAGAGAGCACAATGTCTTGTAAGTTTCAAGCTTAGGCAATCATTGATGTTTTGAGGGTTGCCACTTATTGAATCAGGAAGACAGGAGGAGGAATATTAGAAGGTTATTGAGCTGTTTTGAGCACACTGAGCTTAAAAACCGAGTTTAAGTACCCACTGGAGTACATGGACGTAGAAATCAGCAAAATCAAGCTTAGAAACTCCTCCAGTACAGGACCATTATTATTTGTAGAGTAGTCCCAGAGTCTGCTTATGCAATTGCTCAGGGTTCATACCAAGATATCTTTTTCAAATGAGTTGTCTATAAAATTGTGCTTCTTTCTAATATATTCTTCAAAATACGGGTTGCCTGCAACACTTTTAACTTCAGTAATCACTTCTCTCCTTTTTCCAAAGTGCTCCTTGCATATTCAAGTCTGGGGCTAAGCAGGTTAGAGAAATAGGGAGAGAATTCCCCCACCACCACCATTGCCCTTTGCTGTAAAGTCCTGTTTAGAATTTAAGTTCAGAAGACTTAAAGGTTGTGTTTATGAAGAAATAGGGATCAATAGAAAATGATTATAATCTGCAAAAGGTAATATCAACTGGGTTGCTGTAATGTGGCAGGAAAAGAGGTACTATGTGTAATATTTTGCACTATGTTTAGAAGGTTAAGGTTTAATGCAGTGGCTTTCAAAATTGAGTTTTCAAGTCCTTGAGAGGGAACTGAGAGAGGAAGGGTTGCTTAGTAGTTGGAATTTTGGGCCCATCACTATTTCAGCCAGAACAACCTGATTTGTTTCACATATAGCTTTCACTGAAAAATGGATTTCATGGTCCCACTTCCCCACACCCCCAAAACACAGGGTCTTCCTATGTTTCTCAGGTTGGCCTAAAACTCAGGATCCTCCTACCTCAGACTCCCAAATAGCTGGGACTATAGGCTTGCACCATGTCTGGCTTCTAAGGTCTTTTTAAAAACATGTTTAAGTGTGAAAACACTATTTTTTAAAAAATATATTTTTAGTTGTCAATGGATCTTCATTATTTATTTATTTATTTATTTATTTATATGTGGTGCTGAGAATTGAACCCAGTGCCTCACATATGCTAGGCATGCACTCTACCACTGAGCCACAACCCCAGCCCTGAAAAGCATTATTTTATGCAGCAGAAGTTGTAAGTCATATGGAGAGGGTGGTGAGGAGGAGTTTAGAGTGAAAGAAGGAAAGAAAGCTGTTGAACAATTGGTAGTTGCAAAGGTCTTCCCACTGTTCTTTGCCAAACTATATACAGGACATTCTAAGACACTTTTATTGTTGATTTACTTTTATGCCCCCCCCCCCTCCAAATCTTAAGTTTCTCAAAGGCAGTGCACGACATTTCATTTTGCACCTCCAATGTTTGGTATACTAAAATAAGTCTGTTAAATTAACAATTCTAGGTACTTTGCCAGTGCACCCTTACCTCAGAGAAGCGTTCCAAAGGGGGACAGAGAAATGTTCATTATTAAGAGAGAGGAAAGATGTGGTATTTAGAGTGTTCCTATGTGTGTGTGTGAAAAAAAAAAAAAAGAGAAGTGAGAGTGGATAAAACACCTTCTAAACATAAGAATGAACACCTCCATTGATGTGTCTTGTAGAAGGTGACCAATATATTTTGTAACTAATGTACTGCAAAGTGTCATTGAGTGTGTTGGAGGTGGATAAGAATGACACATACTGATTCAAATTTTTTGAATAATGAAACAAAGAGCCTTATGTTAATTGTATAACCAGTATCTGCTACAAAACGCATTCTGACAAAATGTTCAAGGACGTTAAAAAAAAAACAAAAAACCAACTGCAACACAACAGTGAGATAATAAGGTTTCCCCCTTAATGTTTCTAAATTGCCTGTCCTCTGCTGCTCTCGGTAACTCAGAACCATGTTTGCAAAAATCAAACAAAATAACTTAAAACATATTAAAACAAAACCAAACAAAACCCCTGCATTGAAACGTAAAGACTGGGGCCTGAGACTGAGTCCGTTCCCAAATGTGGGGGTAACCCGAGTGCCCAACGTCCCCTGGGGGTTCCAACCGTGCTGAGGCCGCAGTGGGAGAGCAGAAGCCCCCAAACCCTTGAGAACTTCTGGAAGACACACCCCGGAAGGCCTCGCGCAGCTCCCGAAGTCAGCCGCCCTCCCCTGGGTCCCCACCACGCTGAAGGGCCGGGAAGACGCAAGGCGCGGGCGTGCGTTCCTCCGAAGCCCGGGGGCCAGGAGCCCCTCGCACCACCTGGCCCGCAACCCGGAAGCAGATGTGGGCTATGCGGCGCTACCGGGTTGCGGTTCCGGGTCGGGCCGCGCCGCAGCCCGCGCACATCTAGCCGCCGCGGCTCCCTGCCCCCGTTCTACGGACSTGGGTATCGGCGGCCGCAGGGCCGCTCCCGGGGCCACATGGCTGAGGGGGACACAGGGAGCGACCAGAGGCAGGTGAGGCCCCGGCGGGGCGCTGACCCCCAGGCTCAGCTCGGCCTTGCCTCGCCGTCCCGGGCCGCCTCCGCCCGGGGCCGCTCCGGTTCCCGCCTGCACCGCCCGGGCCGCYCGGCCGCGCCGTTCATTCGCTCCACCGCGTTCCATTTTCCTGGCGCTTCCCCTTTGACGAGCGCTCCCGGGCCGGTTGTTCCTCAGCGTCTTCGGGGTTTGGCCTACTTCGGATGGTGTCCTCGTCAACCATTAGCACGCGACAGAGCAGCTCTGGGCCGGAGGCAGGAAACTGGGTTCTGCATCCCACCCTGTTTCCCGGGTCACCTTGGACCAGGTTCTTCAGACCCTTGGTTTCAGCCTTTGGAAATATGGGCAATAACACAGACCCTGGAATTTCCAGAGAATCCACCAAATCTTATATTTCTCTTGATTTTGAGCTTTCTTCTGTGTAAGATTCACGTGGGCCCTCTTAAGTCTTTTCCACCAGGGCCTCGAGGACAAAATGAGATGATCCAGAGTTGAATATATACTTTTCTCCATTTTTCACCTTTTGGTCCAGTTATTATTTTTTAATCTCACACCAAAATTATTATTTCTGAAATATTTTGAGGCTTTGGATACCAAAAAGACAWAAAACCCACCCAGCCCCAGGCCTGTGCCCAAATTTAAAAAATAAAATAAAAATAATAACGAATGAAAAGAAACTAAAACAATTTAGAATATCCACTAGAATATAGGGAGAGTGGAAACACTATTAGTGGTGAGAGTGGGAGTTATCTGTTTAAAATAACATAGTTTGTCTTTAATTGTGAATCTCACTAAAGGGTATAGAAGTGCATATATATTTTGGCTCAGTAGGGGGCAAAAACACAAGAAGGCCATTGTGAGGCCAGTTCCATTCATTGTAGTAGTGTCCCTTACCCAGAGAGAGGTTTGGTGACCTCCTGCTAAGAACATTTTTGCTTATTAAGGCTCATCCAGTAATCCTTCATCCAACATAGTGATGTTGAATGTTAATATCATATAAAGTACTGAGAAGAGGTTTTAAGGGTATATGTACACTGTTCATTTGTTGACTTTTTTTTTTTTTAAATCAACTTTCAGAATGAGGAAATTGAAGCAATGGCAGCCATTTATGGCGAGGAATGGTGTGTCATTGATGATTGTGCCAAAATATTTTGTATTAGAATTAGCGATGATATAGATGACCCCAAATGGACACTTTGCTTGCAGGTATATATTTGTATATATATTTCTTTCTTTCTTTTCTGCTTCTCTACAGCCATTTTCCAGTTACAGTATTGACTATGATTGCCTTTAGAAGCCTCATGATTATTCATGCATGTGTTATTTTCTAAATTATCTTTGTTGTTGGCTTTTGTTTTGATTGATTAAACATGTAGATAGTTAAATCTCAGATCACCCTCAAATTGTGCATGCATTGTTTCAATCTTTCTTCTTCCATTTTTTTTCAATTATTAAATGTGTTCATGTCCCTTGGACAGATTTGAGTTTCATTTCCTTTCATATCCCATAAAAGGTTCAGAGTTTCTGAACCTGGAAGGATGGCTGATATTTAAAATGAACAATAGGATAGCAATGTAGATGATCCATACAGTAGATGCTCTATTAATTTATTAATTGAGAATCAGTTATAGTTAGGATAAAATAAATGAAAAGATTAGCTGTAGCTTTCTCTCTTAGTACATCTTCTTTGATGACTGCCTGTATTTTCAACATAAAGGGTGCTAAAGTTGAAATTTTTTTATTTTTGTAATAAAACTTATTTGAAAATATATGGTTTCTATAACTTTTTCATATATAATATTTGGTAGATTTTTGAGGGGTGGGTGTCAGGGATTGAACTCAGGGGTATCAACCACTGAACCACCTCCCCAGCCCTATTTTGTATTTTATTTAGAGACAGGGTCTTACTGGGTTGTTTAGTGCCTTGCTTTTGCTGAGGCTGGCTTGAAATCCTGATTCTCCTGCCTCAGCCTGCAGAGCCCCTGAGGTTGCAGGCATGTGCCACTGAACCCAGCTCATATTTAATAGATTTTTTTTTAGGGTTTGTTTTGGGTTTTTTAAAATTTTTTAAAGTACTTTTTCAGAAAAATATCTGGAAAATTTTATAGTGTTTCTCTATCCATTTGTGGTCAGGGCATAATGCCCCTGTTACAAGTTTTCCTTTTCCTCTCAAATATTTTCTTTACCCTTATTCTTTTTGGGGGCAGGAAGGGTACTGGAGATTGAACCCAGGAGTGCTCTGCCACTGAGCTACATCCACAAGCACTTTAATTTTTTTTTTTTAATTTTGAGAGAGGGTCTTGCTAAGTTGCTGAGCTTGGCCCCAGACTTTCGAGCCTCCTCTATCAGCCTCGTAAGTCACTAGGATTATAGGTGTGGGCCACCACACTCTGCATTGTTTGCCCTTATTTTATTTTTTATTATTATTATTTTTACTTTCTCTGCAAATAATTTGTTTTACTCCTTAAAATACTGGCAGCATCACTAACAACATATTCAATGTTAGAAGCATAAATTGGTGATTTTTCTCCTGAGATTTAACAAACCAATGATTCTAAGTTTGGCAGGATAGAAATTTGTTCAGTGGCTAGTTTTATAAATATAATTATTTTTGAACGATAATGAATTGTTAAACAGATTTGTTTTTAAACTGCATTCTAGGTGATGCTACCAAACGAATATCCAGGTACAGCTCCACCTATTTATCAACTGAAGTAAGCTATATTTATTTCTAAATTTATATTTTTTAAAAAGATATTTTCAAAGATATTTCTCTGTACTATGCATTGCATTTTATATAAAATACTTTTATTAAAACAGAGATTAGAAACACCTTTTCGATTTGGTGTAGAACATTTAAATAAAAAAATCAAATTACCTAAAAACACATTGAATTATGCCGCTTAATATAAAAGAGAATCGATGAGTTCATAGGGGTTAAATAGCTACAGAATTTTCTTTAGAGGTGGGGAAGAAAACCTTCCTCTTTATTCAGCCTAATGATCTGGAAACCCTGACCCTTCGAATTTCTCCTGACCTCTGTCCTAGCCACAAAACATTCTGCTTAAGACTTCTTCCCTTTCAGGAATTATCCAGGGTACTTCTTATGGTTCTCCATGTTCTCTCTCCTCCTTGTTATTGAGGAACTATTTTCTTCTAAGTCCAAGCTTAATCTTTATGAGTCATGACCTGTTGATGCAAGCAACCTGGGATCTACCTACCCCCTTAATCTAGTAGTATGTATAAACCACGGGAATAGATTTGCATAAAAATCTGTTACCAAAAATTTTTACTGGGGCTGGGGATGTGGCTCAAGCGGTAGCGCGCTTGCCTGGCATGCGTGCGGCCTGGGTTCGATCCTCAGCACCACATACAAACAAAGATGTGTTCGCCGAAAACTAAAAAATAAATATTGAAATTCATTCTCTCTCTCTCTCTCTCTCTCTCTCTCTCTCAAAAAAAAAAAAAAAAATTTACTGACTAGTGGGATTACTTTTTGTGTTAAAAAAATGTATTGCAAATGATAAAGGAATGTTTACAAACATAAATGTTCTTTTTCAGAAAAAATATTTTTTCATTATTTTTAATTTTTTTATTTGTAGTTGCTACAATATCTTTATTTATTTATTTTTATGTGGAGCTGAGATGAACCTAGTACCTCACACGTGCAAGGCAAGTGCTCTACTACTGAGCTACAGCCCCAGCCCCAGAAAAATTATTTTTATAGTCACTTGACGAACAGCTTACTTGTTAGAGTTGTTGAAACACCAGTTAGAAACAATAGTTGGGAACTTATGGTATTGTAGCAAATATTGTGAATCTGGAAATTTAGATTCTAGAACCTGTTCTGCCACTTATGTAAACTTGAGCAGGTTTATGATACCCTTTGAAATCACCTTTGTTTTTTAAACCATTAAAACTGAATAATAGAAAAAAGACATACAAACCAAATGGCGTCTTAACAGTCTATGCACAAAAATGTTTCAGATTCAAAATAGCTCTCTTGCAGAATTCCAGGATGTGAGACCAAAAAAGCAAACTAAATCGATAAATATACATATAGTTTATATACACAGTAGATTCAGTAGAATAAAAATGACCATGATTTCTGATTTCTTAAAAAGCTGAATTTAATTTTTGTTGGGATTTTCATAGTTTCTTGGGAGCATTAAATGTCTCTAACCTAAACATTTTAATGTTTCTTTGTGTTTGTATACCTATGTACTAATCAGTAATTTCTGTTTGAAATGTTAATGCAATCGTTGAAAAATATTCTTCATTGTGCTTTATTCATTCTTAGTGCTCCTTGGCTTAAAGGGCAAGAACGTGTRGATTTATCAAACAGCCTTGAAGAAATATATATGTAAGTAACAGGTGATTAAAAATATTCTGTTAGTGATTCTGTTTTGTGCCCTACTGAGACTGTGATATGTTAGTACTTAAATTCAGAGATTTTTATCTCTCTCTCTCACACACACACATACACACACACACACACACATATATTTTTTGGTACCCAGGATGGAACTCAGGGCCACTCCACCACTGAGCCACATCCCCAGCCCTATTTTGTATTTTATTTAGAGACAGGGTCTCTCTGAGATGCTTGGTACCTTACTTTTGCTGAGGCTGGCTTTAAACTCTTGATCCTCCTGTCTCAGCCTCCCTAGCCACTACATATACTATATTTTCATAGCATATGTAGGATGAAATTGATAGAAGAATTGTAACCGTAATTATTTATTAAACTTCCAAATGCTTTTAAAGATAATTTCTCTTTTTTTACGCCATAAGACTCAGAGTTTATTGATATGGTTTTTCTTCTTCCTTCCCTCATTCCTTCATCAACAAATATTACATGGCAAGCACTGTATTAAATACTGGATACACATGGTTAACAAAACCCAAAATGATCCCTTTTTTCCAGGGCATTTAGAATTTACAGGGAGGTGGAAGATGTCTTTATACATTGTAAAATGAATGTAAAACTAAAGCTGTGATAAATTCTATGAAAGGAAATTAGACAGTACTATGCTAACTGAGTTTGAAACAAGACCTATCCTAGTCTAGGAGGTCAGGGGCAGCTTGTTTGACTAAGAGCTAAGTTAATTAGGTGACGTTAACTCCAGTGAGAGGCCTCAGAATGTACAATGGCTCTGTGTCAGGGAGCTTGACACCTTTTAGGAAACAGTAATGGTTATATCAGATGGGAAGAGAAAGGGAGGGAACGTGGTGAGAAATGACCTGGAGAGGTAGGCAGGGAAAATCCTGTGGAGTTTTGTTAGCTATGTTAAGGATTTTTGTCTTTATCCTGAACATAATTGGAAGTAGAGGAGAGTTTTAAGTGGTAGGATGCCAGTGATAAGATTTTTGTTTTGAAAAGATTATCCTATTTCTAGGATTGGAAGACTAGAAAAATGGAGTCTGATTGGAAGGCAGCGAAAATGGATGTGGGACATCAGTTAGGAGGCTGAAAAATTAGTACAAAGAAGATAAGATAGATTTGGATTAATTTTAATTATATATATATAAATTTATTAAGACAAATTTAATATTCTGGAATATCATTTTTTTTCCTAATCCAGGAACTAGTAAGGATTCTATTATATGTTCTAGGTGGCCACCCCATTTGGTACAGAGAGTACTCCTTTTGTGTCCCTGGGATCCAGGCCAGGTTTCTTTTCCTCCCAAAATATTTAATTAGAACATGGTAAGTCATTATGGAATCCATTTGACTTGTTCCTTTCTAAAGGAAGTAGTGCCTTTCTTGGGTCCCCATTTAGTGATTCTTTTATCCTTGGCCTATAAATGTTATTTTCTCAACTAAGTGTTTTTTGATATCTGTCTCTAACCTAACTGGCCACTCCCACTTTTGTGCTTAAACAAACTTCTTTGTGTAATTCTTTATTTGCTAATTTATTCTGTCTTAAAGTAGAGTAAGTTAAGTTTACTGCAAATTTAATCAGAATTGATGTCTTGATATATCTGATGGTCATTTTTTAACTCTTATCTTACTTGATCTCTGTAACTTRGTGATATTGACCACTTACTTTTTTCTTGAAAATCTTTCCACCTATCATGTTAAACACATTTATCAGTTAGATTTTTCTCCTACCTATGCAGTGTTATACAGTCTTAAATGGCTTCCCACTTACCTTTACCCTATCCTCAACGTCTTTCCTTTTACTAAGGAATACATTTCAGTAGAACATAACTTGCTTGTWCTCCCTAACTAGTTCTTCTGAGCTATTTGAGATTTAAGAAAGTTCAGAGATTATAAAATAGTGTGTTTTAAAGAAGGAATATGGGTCATATTGTCTTGTTAGAGTGTTTGAATAATCTCAGTCCAGTGATATTATTTTCACACATGTGGTCTAAATAGAAATACACATTATATGGTATTTTGAATAAAAGCAGGTGCTATGGTACATGTCCATAATCCCAGCTACTTGAGAGGCTGAGGCAGGAGGATTGAAAGTTCAAGGCCAGCCTGGGAAACTCAGTAAGACCCTATCTCAAAATAAAAAATAAAGCCAGGCATGGTGTCACACATCTATAATTCCAGGTACTTGGGAGGCTAAGGCAAGAGGATTGCAAGTTTGGAGCCAGTTTAGGCAACTTGGTAAGACTCTGTCTCAAAATATTAAAAGAGCTGTGATATACCCCTGGGTTCAGTCCCCAGTACTAAAGGATGTTGCTTGGTGGTAGGGCACTGCTGGGTTGAGCCTCATTACAACAACAATAAAATTTTCTGTGACAAATTTTAATCATATTCTCTATTTAATTCCAGCAGGGGGCATCAAATGAAAAATATTTTTCAACTTCAAAAATTAAACATAACATAAATGTAAATTTTTAATGATTCTAGTTTTTATGATCCTAAATATTTTCACATTAAGATTCATATATTTCACATCATTTTGAATGGTAAATTTGATTTTTGCCTAGGTGAAAAGATAAATTATGGTTAGTTCCCCTTATGGAGAGAGAGAAAAAATCAGAAAAAAAAAAAGTTTTTCCAGTAAACATTTATGGAACATCTCATTGTTAGGCATCCTATTAGGAATTTGGGATTTAAAATTAAGAGGAATGTGTAACAATACAATATAGTGAGAAGATTACTAAGTGCTGTGTACAATAGCACTTTTTGATGTTTTAGTAATGAATTAGAGAATGTGGATAAGGTTGTGAAGGACATTTTTGCTTGCCAGGTAATTAAAGGGGAGGACTTTTCTGGTTGAGGGACCTATAAAAGCAAAATTATGTTGGGTGAGAGGCAACCTGTTAATTTTTGGAATTTTGCAAGTCATGTTAGTCAGCTTTCCTTTACTCTCACAATACTTGAGATAATCAGTTTATGAAGAGAAAAAGTTTATTTTGGCTCATAGTTTTGGAGTTTTCAATCTATGCTTTGTTGACCTCGTTGCTCTGGTCCTCTAGTGACACATCATAGCAGGTAGGCATGGTGGAGGAACACTACTTCTCTCACTTATCTCATGACTAGAAAGTGAAAAAGAGAGGAAGAGAGCTGGTGTCCTACTGTCTCCTTCAAGGGCATGTCCCCAGTGATCTGACTTATCTCCCTCCAGGCCTCACCTCTTAAAGSTACAACATTTACTTTAAAAATCCGAGAATTAATTTTTTAAATTTCCTATAGCTTTTTTTATTGTTGTTGTTTTTGGTGCTGGGCTTTGCACATGCTTTACATCCCGGCTGTTCTTCACATTTTAATGAATCACGGAATCATAGGTTTTAGGGTTGTTGAGTGAGGCTTGTCAAAGCAGAAATTGCACTGGACAAAGTTATACAGACAAGAAAGACTTTTCTTCAGATTTATTGGGATAAGGAAGGAGAGGCCAGAACTAAGTTTGGACCTACCTAACTCTTCTGAAATGAAAGGCAGGAAAGTTTTTAAGGTCTGGAAAGAGCTATGGGAAAAGTACTGCATGTTAGGGGGTGGTGAATCAGTGGATGTGTCGGACATTTTGGGTTATTACTGATTATAATGCTGCCCCTTGCAGTTAGGCTCACAGACTGAGAGATAAGGTCACTGTCTTCCTTGAGGTTTGTATTTCTAGGGGTTGTCTTTCAGGTTCTTGAGATGTATCTGAGTTGTAAAATATGACAAGGGTCTTCTATRAAACACTTCATATATATTTTTAAAAGGTAGAGAAAGAATTTACAATGACAAGTTTCCAAAGAAAATGCTCTAAGAAAAAGAAAGCTTGAGGCATAAAAACAGAAAGTAATCTGTCTAAGCTTAGGCAGAGGATAAGGCTATTGTGGACCAGGCTTCTGTAGTCAGTTTTGGAAGTAGTGCGACTTTTTTATGTCTGTATTCTTATCTGTAAGAATATTATCTGGGCATGATAATATTGTGAAAATTGTATGCGTTTTGTCATTTAATTTTATTTATCATTAAATTTGTCATCAATTTATCATCTGGGGATGATAATATTGTGAAAATTACACAACCCATGTAATGTACTTTAGTTAACAGTAGAAGTGCTTTACTCAGCTTTACATTTTTATAACCAAATACCTGAAATAATCCAGTTTATAAAGTGACAAGGTTTATGCTGGCTCACAGGTTTGRAGATTCCAGCCTGGCCCCCTTGCTTTGTGTCTGGTGAAGCAGCATACATCATGGTGGGAGTGGATTACAGAATACAACTACTTATATCATGAGTCAGGAGCAAATAGAAAGAGGAAGGGGCCAGGGTCTCACAATCATCTTCAAGGACATGTGCCTAGTGGTCTAAGGATGTCACATTAGGCCCCACCTCTGAAGGACTCTGCCACCTCCTTGGACTGCCACCCTCCCCAGGGTTAAATCAAGCATTTAACAGTAGCCCTTTCAGGAACATTCAAGATTCAGACTATAGCAAGTAGTCATCATTTTTGTTGTTCTTATTAAGAGACTCATCTCATTCARTTTTATCATTTTGAAAATGTAATGACTGAAAACCAGATCGCGTGATTTAAGGTCACACAGCTGATAGCATTATAGTGCAGAGCTTTACCATTAAAGTCAACAAATGTAAATATTATACAATTAAAGCTACACATATTAGAGCCATAGGTAAAATTAGAATTGTAACTTTGTTTCTAGATTGGATTGTTATTTGAGTTATTCGACAAATAGATCAGATAAAATATCAGTTATTCAAGTTTAAACAAATTTTGTTGCAGACTTTTTATCTTTAGCTTCTTTTCTATTATTTGATTTTGTAGACAAAATTTTAACACTTCAGTCTGTAATGGGTAGTTCTCCAATTTTGTACCAGAGTTCTTAGGATTTAGACTTCCTTTAGGGCTCTTTGAGGAAGGGGATGAGAGGTTTAATATACAGGAYTCGGTTTTTGTTAGTTTAATTGGCTTCTGATTCTGTAAAAGATTTAATTGCAACAATAGCAAAAGTTTGAAGGCCACTGTTACCAAATTTTYTTGGATACTTTAAAGATAGGAATACACTGTTGTCACTAGAGAAAATACAAATATAAGAGTAACAACAATTATGAGCAAAAAAAACAAAAACAAAAAATCAAAAGATAGATAGCCCCCACCCCAATCCTGCTTTTAGTAATGGCCTTTGGGTCTAAGGGAAAGAATGATTTCACTTTATGCAGGAAGTCTTTCACACCCTGTGACTTCCTTATGCTGGCTTTTCAATAGCAGTCCTGTTAAATGCTAGTGAAGAAAGTAGTCAATAAATGATGCTGAACAGCATTGCTGTTTTATATTCCTCTGCAGGAAGCCATGGGCCAAGGGAGAGGCAATCTGGAGTGAAAGTTTAATTTTCTTTGTTATTGGGGAAAAATTACTTATTAATTATAAAAATCTTTCTAAAGATTTTTTAAGTCTGAATATGAGTTTATGTTTGCAGAGGGATGATTTTCCTGTCTCAAAGAGTAGATATAAGGATCAACTGAAGTAATATACATAAAGCATTTTAACATATCTTTTATGTAGAAAATGTTCATTAAACACAGGTGCTGATGTTACTGGTTAGGGTGATGATGATGTTGTGAAGAATTCAATAGCATGAGATTAGGAAATAGAGTTATATGTAAAACTAATAATTTGCTAGGGTAGTGATTAAAAGGAATGAATAAAGAAACCCCATCACCTCACACTCTATCATACCCACAAGTCTGTAGGTAGTATGGGATGCATAGGAGAGGCTCTTGAAAGATTTGTTGAATAGGACTGGGGATGTGGCTCAAGCGGTAGTGCACTCGCCTGGTATGCGTGCGGCCTGGGTTCGATCCTCAGCACCACATTAGAAAGAAAGATGTTGTGTCCACCGAAAACTAAAAAATAAATATTAAAGTTCTCTCTATCTCTGTCTTAAAAAAAAAAAAAAGAAGAAGATTTGTTGAATAAATTGAGAGAGGTTCATTTGAAGTTTTTCATTTTTTTTAAACTTTAAGAGCTTGTTTTAAAATTATTTATTTATTTATTTTWAAAATATTTAATTTTAAGTTTTAGGTGGACACAGTATCTTTATTTTACATTTATGTGGTGCTGAGGATCCAACCCAGTGCCTCATGCATGCTAGGCGAGCACTCTACCACTGAGCCACAACCCCAGCCCCCAAATTTTTATTTTTTATAAGCAAGAATTATAGACTTTTAGAAACAAAATGCTGTAAACCTTTCATTTTATAGATGAGGAAACTGAGACTCAGAAAAATCAAGTAGCTTATTTACCTAAGGTCATAGCTCTCCGTAGGAGAGCAAAAATACAGTTGACCTGAGCTTTGAACCTCAGTCCTGGATTCTTAAATCAGCTTTGGGCTTCTTAAATTGCTTAGAAGACTGTCTTGGATAAGTTAATATATTTCTGTAAAGTTTATTTTTTCATTTGTGTTATGGGGAAGTAATACAGAAGACAATGATAAGGATTAAAGGTGTTGATGTATGTAATGAACCTAGGGTTTAGTATGTCCTTAATACATTTTATCTTGAGTGTCTGATGAACTCTTTTGAGAAGAATGGATAGTAGTTGAATTTGTTTAAAAGAAATTCACCAGTGTTCTCAGTTGATATAGGGAGGGTTTGATAATTATTTGAAAGCAGTTTTTGTTTCATTTTCTTCTGCATGCTTGTTTTGAAATGGTGGGTGCTAATGAGTGATGATAGAACAATTTCAAGGGAGAACTTTTAAAGGAAGATAAGATATTGCTATGTTATAGTGGGGTGATTTTTTTAAACACATACTAAAACTAACCTAAAATTTGAGTTATTACTTAAAGAACAGATAGTTGGCCATTTCTTTATTGTTGTTTCCATCATGCAACATAACTATGGACATGTCTCTAAGACCCAGGACACATTTCTTTTTCTCAGTGATTCTCTGAGACAGTTTTCATCAGGGCAGCCAAACATTATTTGTAACCAAATGAATCAATTAGGCAATAGGATATTTTGTCAAAAACAAGGTATGGCTATAAAACTTTTGAATTGATTATCTTTTAGATCTTCTGAATTGACTCCATGAAGGAGTTCCCCATATGCTTTGCAGTTTTATTTGTTGAAATAAGTATCCTAAATGATAAGTTGTAAATGGTTGGAAGTTATTCAGAAGTTTAGAAAAGTAAGCAGTGATTAGACACCAATACTGAAACTGTATCTTCTTATAGAAGCAAAATCACATTTAGAACTACCTAGTGCATTCAGTTCAAGTTTAGAAATTTTCTTTCCCTTCTTTGGTTTTAACTCTTCTGTTTATTGTAAGTAAAGCCAAGTTAATTTTGGAGTTAGYTGGGATTTTTAATGTTGGTATAAACAATCTGTATTAAATAATCAGATACAGTGTTGGTGATCTTATCTTTTTATAAATACTTTTGAATAAGGCATGGTTAGATTTTTAAAATAATGTCTTGAATTGTAAATATGTTTCTGTTTTCTTGAATTTGAGAAGGGAATTTTTTTTGAAATAACAATTTTTTTTCTCTTGAATTTTGTTTAGACAGAATATTGGTGAAAGTATTCTTTACCTGTGGGTGGAGAAAATAAGAGATGTGCTAATACAAAAATCTCAGATGACAGAACCAGGTAGGAATGAAAAATATATCAATGCCCTTTTAACTTACTATGGTAATTAAATTTTCACAAAGATATTCTAATTGAAGTTTTACATGAAAATTTATGGTTTGTGGTTTGTATATAATAAAAATTTCCCTGGAAAGTTCATTTACCTGTGGTAATTATGGTTATTCCTTTTTTTTTTTTTAAAGCGTTATCCTCTTTATTTTCATATTRTACTTTTTTTTTCTTTTGGTACTGGGGAATGAGCCCAGGGATCCTCAACCACTGAGCCACATCCYCAGCCTTTTTTTATATTTTATTTAGAGATAGGGTCTCTCTAAGTTGCTTAAAGCCTTGCTAAGTTGCTGAGGCTGGCTTTGAATTCGTGATCCTCCTACCTCAGGCTCACGAGCTGCCAGGATTATCYGTTTGCATCACCATACCCAGCAATTTTCATATTATACTTTTATAGAAATAGTTTTCTGGTGAAACAACTTATGACCAAATCTGTTCTCTTTAATTTCCATTAAGGAAATTAACATTCTTCATGAATTATGCACTACATAAATAGAGTTTAGCTTCAAATGAATCTACTCCTTATAGAAAAAAAAACAAAACTTGAGAAGAACAGTGACCAATATTAGGATATAGAATTTAATTTTGAGTATAATTTTTGAAATATAATTCATATGCCATAATTATTCACCCTTCTAAAGTATACAATTCAGTTGTTTTAGTATACAATTCAGCCATCACCACTAGTTGTAGAACATTTGGAAATTGATATTTTGCTTTTTATTAATCTTTCATTAAGCTTATGACAACATAGAAATCTCTAATGTCTCCTGTTCACATTTAGTAGTCTGTTCCATTTACCACAAAAGACTTTTTAGAGATAAAAATAACTCTAAAAGTACTTTTAAATAGCATTTTATTGATACCACTGGTAGAATTATTTTTAATTTGGAGGCCAAAAGGATTTTTAAAAAATCCAGTAGCTTATTAGTAAACAATTATTACTAATTGTTTAGAGGGGTATTTACAGAGAACCAATTATTTAGGCCTCCCTCAGCAAAATTAGTTTACATTTAGAGTTGATAATAGTATATATATATGTTTTTAGAGAATTTTTCATTTTTTTATAGAGACATATTTTTATTGCTTTTATAAAATCAGAGGTAAATGACAAAGATATTAAAACCATATAATAATTAATTTTGAAATATTTTTCTCAATTTTTTATAATACATGTTCTGATTTTGCAGCATTTTAGGGATCTGTGAGAAAAGTGATTTCAAAATTCCCCAAACAGAAATAACTTCTGTCAGCCTGCCTTTAGAGTTAGAACAAGTGCAGAAATGGAATGTATATCAATAAACATTTAGGATTCCAAAGTTTGGAGTACTCAACTTTTAGGAAATTTGAAAATTTAATCTTAAAATTGACATTTTCCTTTTTCCACCTGCAACCACAGTATATAGTTAAGTCAGTCTTTCAAGTTTTAGGGTTCTTGATTTGTGTTGTATAATTCATAAGTTTGAATTTTTAGAAATTTGATGGTTTTTTCTTTAAAGTTGTTTTGGGGCCAGGTGCAGTGGCACATGCCTATAATCCAGTGCTCRGGAGGCTAAGGCAGGAAGATCTCAAGTTCAAAGCCAGCCTCAGCAATGGCAAGGTGCTAAGCAACTCAGTGAGACCCTGTCTCTAAATAAACTACAAAATAGGACTGGGGATGTGACTCAGTGGTTGAATGCCCCTGAGTTCAATCCCCGATAGCAAAAAATAAATAAAATTGTTTTGCATGGGGCTGGTGTTGTAGCTCAGTGGTAGAGTGCTTGCCTGGCATGTTCGAGGCAGTGGGTTCAATCCTCACACCAAATAAAAATAAATAAATTAAATAAAAACAAAAATGAATTGTTTTTGCAGATATTACATTAAAATGGAAGGATTAATAATAATTCTGAAGAACTAATAAGGGTAAGAGATAGTGATCAGGATGAGAATTTTCTTCTTTAGGGAATAGTTTATTTTTATTTTACTGTTAACAAGTACAAATCTATTCTTTATTGTTTTTCTAGAATAAAAATTTTAAATTTGAAGTAATTATAYATAACTCCAATTTTTTTTAAAAAAWATTGAACTAACTTGCCAGGGCACATGCCTATAATCCCAGCAACTCTGGAGGCTGAAACAGGAGGATCACAAGTTTGAGACAAGCCTTAGCAACTTAGTGAGATCCTTGGCAATTTATTGAGACCTTGACTCTAAATAAAAAATAAAAAGGGCTGGGGATGTAGCTCAGTGATTTAGAGCCTCTGGGTTATGTCCCTAGTACCCCCCACTCACCAAAAAAATTGAACTGACTTCAAATTTACAGATAAGTTATAAAAATAGTACAAAGAGCTCTTTTATATTCTTCACCCTAACTTCCTACTAACATCATACATTACCTTGCTGTAATATCAGTAACATAGTGCAGTACTATGAAGTAAACCAAAGAGCTTATTCATATTTCACCAGTTTTTCCACTAATGCCTTTTCTGTTGCTTTAGGACCCTGTCCAGGATTCTGCATTGTATTTAATTATGACTTCTCTTTACTCTGTTCTATAATCAGTTCCTCATTCTTTCCTCTACTTTTATAACCTTGGACCCTTTTGAAAAGTACTGATCATGTATTTTGTAGAATACCCCTCAGTTTGGGTTTGTCTAGTTGTTTTCTCATGATTGGAATAAGATTAGCTATTTTTGGCAAAAATACTACAAAAATGATATTGTGTCCTGTATAAATACATCATTTCCAGGAGTTCATAATATCACTCTGATGTATTATTGGTGATGCTTACCTTGATCCTGTGGTTAAGGTGGTGTGTGCCAGATGTCTCCACTGTTAAGTTACTGTGTTGGGGTTTTCCAGAGAAATGGGTATGTTTGTGTGTGTGTATATGTCTGTGTGTCTTTGTGTGTACAGAGAAAGAGATTTAAGGAATTGGCTTATACAGTTGTGGAGGCTTTCAAGTCTTAACATCTGCAGGGTAGGCCAGCAGCTGGAGAACCAAGGAAGAACTGATGTTACAGTTTCAGTCCAAAGGTAGTCTGCTGGGAAAATTCACTCTTCTAGGGAGGTCATTCTTTATGAATAAGGTCCACCTTTGTTATGGAGAGCAGTCTGATTTACCCAGAGTCATTTGATTTAAATATTAATCTCATAAAAAAAATACCTGCACAGAAACATCTAGAAGAGCATTTAGCCAAATATCTGTGTACCCTGACTTGGGTACCCAAATTAACATGTAAAAGAACTATCATAATTAATACCTTTTAACTTTTCCTTTATGTCTTGTGGGAAGTTCTTTTTTTTTTTTTAATTGAGACATGATGTCCCTTAAACTTTTGGACTGACATGATCGTTCTGCCTTGGCCTTCTGAGTAGCTGTGATTATAGGCATGTGCCAAGGCTATGCCAATATCCTGTTCCTTAAACTTTCATTTACATTTTAGTATCCATCAGAAGATTCTGTCAGCAGTAGTTATTACTATGTTGTTTGCCTAATGATAATTCTCCGTTTTCTTCATTTATTCATTGGAATTCTGTTGTGAGGAAGAGGAATTCTGATTCTTTCTGTTGAAGAATGGTGTTTAGAGTCAAGACCTAATTTTTTWAAAAAATTAATTAATTATTTTTATTTATATATAACAGTGGAATGCATTACAATTATTATTACATATATAGAGCTCAATTTTTCATTTCTCTGGTTGTATACATAGTATACTCACACCAATTTGTARGACCTTATGTTTATGTAAGAGTGATTTTATAATTACTTTTTTATAATCATGAAGTCTCATATCCACATAGGCCCAGATGTGAAGAAGAAAACTGAAGAGGAAGATGTTGAATGTGAAGACGATCTCATATTAGCATGTCAGCCAGAGAACCCAGTGAAAGCATTGGATTTTGATATCAGTGAAAATCAACCAGGTATAATGTCACTAAGTAGTTTCTTATGAGGAGTGTGGGGTGATAGTGTTGTAAATTATTCTTTGGCATCTTATGGAAATTTAGTAAACACTCAGGTGTTAGGAAGTAGTTATTAATTTGCAGACAGATTTATTTTTTTCCTGCCTGTTGACCATTTTGGTGTTTTCCCAGGTCTGTCAGAATGGTGAGGAAAAAAAATAGAAATTTCCTTTTTTCCCCTGGCTTTATAGAGTTTTGACTTAATGATGGGAGATATCAAAACTAAAAAAGGCTGTTAATGTTTTCAGTTCATATTCTGTTTTTGTATTTCAACTTTCTCCTGATGTTTTGGRCTTCAATCTATGCTCACAAACATAAATAAAGTAACATGGAAAGTAGAACTACTGAAATAAAGCTAGTAAAATACCTTTAAAAATTTAATTTTTGTTTCAGCAAATATGTTTCACAGTAGTATTCAACTTATAAATAGGTTGATGTGTATATAGCTCTATGTGCATATGAGAAAGCATGTTCTGGTTTAGTATTTTTAAAATTTTCAATATTATCATCCGTTCCTTTTAAGTTTCTTACAAAAACATTTATAGACCAGAGGAAATATGCGTTTGGTTAGAAGATGAGCAGTTCACTATGTTATTTTACAGTAGCTTTTAAAAACAGTATTCTGAAAGTTTAAGGTTTTTGAAAGGTGGTGCTCCAGGGCTAGCAAAAGAGCATGAAGTAGAAATGAAAGTGGGGGAGAGGATCCAGAGCTCCTACTTGTGCTTCAACCAAAGAAGCTCCATTTTAATCATTTATATATTCATGGATTTGACATAAGACTTCTGGGAAGTAGGATCCAACATTTAAAGAAAAAGGGTGAAAAATCAGTTATCATAAATAGCACCAATAGGTCAGTAATTCATGTTGACTTGTATGCTATATTTGATTTATTTGTATCAGTATAGAGGCCAAAAGCAATTCAAGAAGAGGGCAGAACAGGGCATGTAACTCAGTAGTAGAGCACTTGGAATGCACAAGGCCCTGGGTTTATTCTCTAGCACTGAAAAAAAAAAAAAAAAAAAAAAAGCAATAGCATCCTACCAAAACCTGATTTTTTTTCTTCATTAACTTCATCCTAAATGAGGCAGTTAGTAGCAACCATGATGGTTAAATTTCTCACCAGATTTAAGGGTTAATTAATGATGCTTAAACTTTTTGAAGAGACACAATAACTGGCATCATAGTACTCTTCACGGAATACCATTTGGCTATAGTATTGATGTATTCCATTTTAAGAAATGGAAATATTTGTTATAAGGAGATTTATTGTAGCTATACAATTTAAAGTAACAGATTTCTCAACTCAGAGGTCTGTATCCATAGATGAATAAGGAAGTAGGGGTATATTAGCAGCTGTCAATCTTTACACTCTTAAAAACTACACATTGTATTATTATTTAAAAAACTACGTATTGTATTATTATATGTCATACCAACTTTGGTTGCTGTAATACTTCAAGATTTGAGTCTCAATCCTACTATCTCCACTGAGTGACATTGGCATTTATAAATCAAGTATTTTTATCTTATATACATTTTAGACTTTTTACTTAAATTATAATTTAAATTTAATTTTGGTAAATTAAAAAATTTTAAAATTTAGTAATTACTAATGGCTATTTTAATTTGCTGTATAATTTAAATTTATTGCCTGATTTCCTGTCCCCCTTTGCCAATTTTTCAGTATTTGAATGTAAGACTTTGAAAAATAAAGCAAGTTTATTCTTTAAATTTATAGAAATAGAAGAATTACCTCCGATTGATCATGGCATTCCTATTACTGACCGAAGAAGTACTTTTCAGGCCCACTTGGCTCCTGTAGTTTGTCCTAAACAGGTAAAGTTAGCTCACTTTGGTGTTATTTTGCCAAAGTAAGTCAAGTAAATGATTTTGCAGTAATACCTTTATTTTTGCTCTAATGTTTAATTTTCACATAAGATAAAAAATTATTTGGGGCTGGGGTTGTGGCTCAGCAGTAGAGCACTTGTCTAGCACATATGAGGTGCTGGGTTCCACCCTCAGTACCACATAAAAATAAATAAATGAAATAAAGGTATTATGCCCAACTACAACTTAAAAACAATTATTAAAAAATAAAGAAAAAAGATAAAAATTATTTGGGACCATTTCCCTACTCCCAAATTACTGTGAATTATAGAAGATTAGTTTTGTTTCTGTTTGTCACAACTTTCAAAATTGCACTTGGTCTCTTGAATGGGACTTAACCCTCCAGTGAATCTAAGAAAAACTCATTTTGTCATTACAGAAAATTATAATGCTTAATAGTTGGTTTAAAAGAATTATTTGCCCTTTTCAGTGGGAGTTCTGTGAAACTAAGTTCATTTGACAGTTGCCCAACAAAGAGAAGAGTAGCCAAAAGGACTGAGCCCAGTCTTTCCTGCTTCCTGGCCTTTCTGCTTCCTGGTTTTAGGATACCTTATTTCCCTTGGGTGTCCTATTCCTATTAAAAGATAAATAGGGGACTTTTTTTAATCAAAAACTATTCCTAGGTCTTTTCCCTTCTCACTCTTTTTTTTAGCAAAAATCCTTTTCTTCTTTCTTGTTGCTATAATGTAGTCCAGGTTAAACTTAATTGATGTATGAGGCAATTCCAATTTGATGTATACAAGTAAATAATAACAGTAATAATAATAAAATAATAATAATGTCTTATTATTTACCACACGGGATCTGTGTCTTCCCTTGGTTTTCTGTTGCTGTTCTCCTCTTGAAGTTCTTTGAAAAGACTTTTTAGGAATACAGTTCTTTGTACTAGGCCTTTCATTTCTCTTTTAATCTCTAGAAGAGGAAGTTCTTTTCTACATAGATTTGTGATTAAAACCAAGCTTTCGGTGTAGCTTTCTGGTCTTTCCTCTTCTGGAATCCTGTTTTTTTCTTTACCCTTCAATCAAGGTCCCTTGTAGACATTCGTTTCCGAAKCTGTTCATCCTGGATCCTCTTTCTGTTTTTCATCATAGTCACTTGAACTATGTGAGCATTGAAACAAATCATAGCGGTCATTTCCTACTTTACTTTATGGATCAATTGGCTGAAGCTGGGTATCGTGATGCATGCCTGTAATCCCAGCTACTCTGAGAGGCTGAGGCAGGAGGATGGCAAATTCAAGGCCAGCCTCAGAAATGTCTCAAATTAAAAACAAGAAGGATTAGGAATGTAGTTTAGTGGCAGAGCATTTATCTGGCATGTGCAAAACCCTAGGTTCAATACCTAGTGTCTCTGTCTCTCTCCTCTCTCTCTCTCTCTCTCTCTCTCTCTCTCACACACACACACACACACACACACACACACAGTCTGAGAATCTGAAGGATTATAAAATGATAAAGACAAGATTGTGAAATTAATGGTTCAAATTGGCCTGTACAATTTTAGCTCAGTTTTTGCTGCCTCCAGTATTTCTTTCATACTCCTTGCCATTTACAGGTCTTCTGAAAATATGATCACATTTTATTCTCTTCACTCCCCCGTTCTCCCTCACATACATAATCTTTGCTGATTTCAGTTGTCTACAAGGGAAAATGTAAACTTCTTATATAAGGTCCTTTGCGATATGATCCTATCTTATCATTCTTGACACACATATCATCTCATTCTTCTTCTTAAATAACAGCTACATGAAATTTTCTGAACCTTTCATTTTATGTTTCTCCTAGAATATCTAGTTAAATTTGAATTTCAGGTAAACATTATTACATGGGAGCATATTTTTACTTATATTTGTTTATATTGATCCATATTTGTTGTTTATCTGAAATTTGAACTTAACTCAGTGCTCTTTTTTTTTTTTTAGTATTTATTTTTTAGTTTTAGTTGGATACAATACCTTTATTTTATTTATTTATTTTTATGTGGTACTGAGGATCGAACCCAGGGCCTTGCACGCACGAGGCAAGTGTTCCACCTCTGAGCCATAACACCAGTTCCTATCCTTTATTTTTATTTGCTAAATCTGGTCATATTATATTGCATGTGTGTATTTTACATGCTGTTTCCTCTGAGCAGAATGTCGTCTTCTTGTCCCCCCTGCCCTGCTTTTCTCAGTATTTGGGATTAAATGCAGGCACACCATACATCATACCAATGGGACACACCTCTGACCCTTTTTAAATTTTATAYTGAGACAGAGTCTTGTCAATTTCCCCAGGCTGGACTTGAAATTACGATCCTCTTGGCTTAAGCTTCCTGGCTTGCTGGGATTACAAACGTGCACCACCACACCCAGCTCTTCTTCCCTTTTGATGGAAAAGAACTGCCAGTTATTTTCTAAGACCTGAGTCTACTTATCACACTTGGAACATATCATTATCGTATAATTACCGCACTGAGTAAATTTCAGAGCTGATGTTTAGAAGTTTTTACATTTGCATTTAAAATTCTCTGTATGGGGAAGAATTTTTCATATACAAAGCCTCAGACAGTTCGTGCCTAAACTAATCTGTTGATAATTAGTGCTAAAAAAAAATACCAGGTCGGTCATTTTTATACTGATTGAGAGTACTCATTTCTGCCCCTACACTGAGGAGGAAACTTTGGAAATGCCCTTTTCAGAATCTTGAAGATTCTTTAAAAGACTGTTTATTTTAATACAATATTAATATTAATATGCTTTAAGATATTTTTTTCTAGCATTTATTCACAGAACAAATGAAAAGCATACATTACCTTTTTTATATTATTGCTGTTTTGAAGGTGAAAATGGTTCTTGCCAAATTGTATGAGAATAAGAAAATAGCTAGTGCCACCCACAACATTTATGCCTATAGGTAAGTGATTATCACAATTTTTGGAATATGCAATTTGTAAACAAGGGTTGGGAAATGATGCATAACTAAAAAACCACTATATGTGTTTTTTTCCATTATAATAGTAWTAGCTATGTGGAATATTTGGAAACTGCAGAAAAGGGTGGGGGGAGTTGGAGGGAAAATCTAGCATTTTCTGACTTTAAATATCAACTGTAGTTTTATATATTTTCTATGCAAACAATTTTTTTCAGTGGTTTACCCGTATATTCTTTATTCTTAATTTAACAAAAGCATCCTCCCAGGTTGTTAGAACTACTTGATAAATACTATTTCAATTACTGTTATTTATTTGAGGCTCCATACCACAATTTATTTAAACATTTCTTTTTTGCTTTAGCTTTTCTTATTTTCCAACGTTATAAATAATAGTACGTGAACTTTTTTTTTAGTGAAATGGGGCTATAATTAGAAAAAAAAAAGTCATATTCTTTTTTTTTTTTTAACTGAATTTTATTTATTTATTTGTTTATTTTTGGTGGTGCTGGGGATTGAACCCAGGGCCTTGTGCATAAGAATAAATTCTTAAAGAGTAGAATTATTAAAAAGCATGAACATTTTTGAAACTTCACTCATATTGCTAAATTTTTTCCAAAGGTGGTTTTCCAAAGTTTACGCTCCTGTGAGCAGTGGATTAAGAGTGCTTCTTTTACCACATTTAGTTTTGAATACTAATGTATATAAATCTGCTCATTTGTAAATGAAGACATAAAGGATATATTTTTTAATATGCAACATAAGACAACTTAAGGACATAGTTTAAGCCTAAAATAAAAGAATATAAATACAGGGATTTGGTGCAAAATTAAAATTCGATTGAGACCTATTTGTAAAACCTAGACTCTTCAAAACTCACACTGAAAAGTAACACTTTGGAGATGTGAGATTTTAATCTTATTTATTTATTTTTTGTGGTGCTAAATGCATATTAGTTATATACTTTTCTTCTAAACAGTATTACTGAACAGAATTTTAATATATTCTTAATGATTTAAGGCCATTGGTGTGAAAATGAAGGATTAAACTTTGCTCTCAGTGGTTTGTGCTGTAAAAATTATTAATAATAGTTACCATTTGTTAATTCCACATGCTTATTTAATGCACACTTAACAGTTTATGTAAATTAATTATGTTTATTTCAGCAATTGTACCAAATATTATCTTTTTAAAGATCCTATTGTTACATGATTAATAATTAAAATAAATATAATTCAATTTTACTTCTTTTTATTTTATTCCTATGTGGCTTCAACAACCTTGTACATAATGTTGACCCAAGTTATCAAAAAAGAAAGCTAAATTATGTGCTGACTATTCTATTTCAGGCCCCAGTTTTCTGATTATTTCTTCCTCAGTCTCCCTTCTGTAATTGAGTTTTGGAAATGAAAGAACTGAGCTTGTCAGGATTGTGTATCACTAAAAAGACACTAAGTGGAGGCTTGGGGAACCCATTGGGAGTAGAAACAATGAACTTTTTTGACTTTGAGTTGTATATTTTGAATGCATAGGGTCCTTTTAAGACGTCACTGCCTGGTACTGGGCTGTGTTCCTTTTGTAGTTGTGGGGCGTTCTTCAGGCTACTGTACACACAGCTGTTGGATGCTGTGTCATCATCTTCCTGGCATGTGAGGAAAGGGTTAGTGAAAATTTCTATAGATCCTTTTTTCCCTATAATCTAACAATACTGATTTAAATAGTCAAATTTTCTTCATTTGTTCCATAAAATAATGGGATTAGATTATAATTGCAAATCTAATCTAAACCAACCCCTGGCTTCTTTTCGTCATTCTTAAATTTGTCATATAAATTTTTGTTTAATAGTACTAATTCACTTTTCCTTATATGAGGTCAACTGTGAATAAAAATAGAGCCTGCTCATAGTAAGTAGTCAGTATTTTTGGATGAATAAATGAATGGATGAATAGATAAATGGATGGAAGGATGAATGAATGAATATTATTACTGTAATCTATGATTAATATAATTGAATTATGTATGTAGATGAGCTTTTATAGCTTTTTATGTTTATTTTAAAAGTCTCCAACATTTTATGGCTGTAGTTGGGCAGGTATCTTTACCACATTAATCATTTCACATGATATCCTTGTAGGGGCCTAAAAAATCCACTAGATGGCAGACCTAAACTGGTACTACACAAGCACACACTAATAAATATGTTATATATTTTATATTTAATATGTTTATTTGTTAACTCTAAATATAAAACAATATAAAAGATACAAATAATGTATTTATATTTATATATATTTACCTATAACACTTATTTGACAAGCTTATTCTACTAATAATGATGTTATTCTGCATCATTATTCTGAATAACTTTTCCAGTGACTTAAATGATAAAAATACCATGATTATCTCTAATATTGATAAGCATCCTGGAACAGATTTTAAAGAGAAAAATAGACTTATTAGTCTATTTAATAGTCTATTTTTCTCTTTAAAATCTGTTCCAGGATGCTTATCAATATTAGATAATTTAATTCCTACTTAGAAAGGGGAAAAGAAAGAAATAATTGATGGATGGAATGAGAGGAAAATATGAAATATTGACTTATGGTTGTATTAATCTTATGTGATTTTTGTTTCACTGAATCTTAGGCTTTTTGAAGACAGGAGTATGCTGKTTTTTTTTTATACCATTTTGTAGTGATTATCATTATATTTCTATATAGTATATTCTCAAATAGTTTTCAGTGAATGCTCTTTATTACTCATAGATTTGATGTTAAGGGAAATGTCGTATGTAGATTAAATTTCCCATGCATCTCTGATATACAGGAGACACCTTTGACTCTTAGTTTTTCTAAATATATATATTTTTTAAAAAGGTGAAACATACTGGATAGTAAATTGTCTATGAATTTTCAAGAACAATTTTTTAAAACAAAAATTTTGGAAGTAATCAAATTGATTACAACAAGTATCGAGTGACTTCCATTATAATACTTTCAGTTTCAGAGTGTAACCTCGTTACATGTATTTCTAGGATATATTGTGAGGATAAACAGACCTTCTTGCAGGACTGTGAGGATGATGGGGAAACAGCAGCTGGCGGGCGTCTYCTCCATCTCATGGAGGTAGGTGTTAAGTTAAACTTTGTGAGACCTATTCTGTACAAGCCATAAAATTTCTCAATAAAAGAGCTCCATTTAGGAATAAATAAATCAGTTAAATGTTATAAATTAATAGTTAATTTTTAAACATCAACTGAAAATTTTAATGATTGGTTACAGGGCAGAAAGCAAATGGTTTATAACCAGTGCTTTGTTTTCAAGGTATAGACAATAGAAAATTTTCTTCAACTTGAAGGAAACACTCTCTCTTTCTCTCTCTCTAGGACAGTTTCCTCTTCTCTTTTCTGTTTTATCTTTGTGGATCTCCTATTAGTTGAATATTAGAACTTCTGTATTAATGGAGAATGTTTCTTTTAAAAAATTAACTTGTCCATCTCATAGTCTTTATGTTCTAAGACATTTTCTTAACTGTCTTTCAAAGTTTCTGTTGAATTAAGAAAAAAAAATTTTAGCAACCATGTATTTAATTCTTAAAAGTTTTTCTTGCTCACTATTTTTCTTTTTTCATAGAATCCTCTTCTGGTTTTATGGATGCATTATCTTCTAAATTTCTCTACATATATTAATTAGAGCTTTTCCCCCCAGATGTCCTCACCCTTAAATGTTTCCTGATCCATTTTAGTTTGTTTATCTTGTCCTTTCTCTTTCATGCTGCTGGATTTTCTTCATCTGTCTGGTGATCATTGATTGTGCATTAATTTTAAGAATGGATTGTTTTTTTCCTAAGGTAGTTACTGTGGTTTCTTCTGCTAAAGTATATGGAGCTTTGWTTCTTAACTAAGTCTTTCCCTTGAATAGGAACTCTGTATGTGGGCCTGTACATTGGTGGGCTTCACTTTAAAGGCAGCATTTGACAAATGTCAAACTGATGAAGACTTTATTGGTAGGCATTAGATTACGTGTGCAGCCCATTTTCTCCCAGAGCTTGTTCAGAAGCAGACTGTTTTATTTTTTTTGTCATTTTGGCCTAGTGGTAAAAAGACTACCTAAAATGTGCTATTGTGGTTGAAGTCATCAGGAATTAAAACTCTGCCTGCATGGTCTCCCCTCCTGTTTACTCTGCCATGTTGCCCCGAAGTTTGGAATTTAAGGACACTGGAATTTAAGGACACTGGAACATGGTGTTGGTTTTCCAAATTCCCTTCTATTCCAATGTGTTACCCTTGAATTGTTAGTTATCTTAGTGCATACTCATATGATCTGCCATTAAGATCACTGGGAAATTTTATGTGCAATTTTATATGTGGGTTATTTCCTTCTTTTTAAAAACACATTTGTACATGTTTATCTGTGTATCTAATTATGCTTCTGGAAATAACAGATTTTGAATGTGAGGAATGTCATGGTGGTAGTATCACGCTGGTATGGAGGGATTCTGCTAGGACCAGATCGCTTTAAACATATCAACAACTGTGCCAGAAACATACTGGTGGAGAAGAACTATACAAGTTCACCTGTAAGTTGTTATTGATATCTAGTTTGTTTGTCTTTTTATTGTTGTTGTTGTTATCATTGGGGGTTGAACCCAGGGGCACTTTACCACTGAGTTACATCCCCAGCCCTGTTTGCTTTTTATATCGAGACTGGGTCTCACTAAGTTGCTTAGGGCCTTGCTAAGTTGCTGAGGCTGGCCTTGAGCTTGGGATCTTCCTGCCTCTGCCTTCTGACCTGCTGGGATTACAGGTGTGTGTGGTGCTAGGGATCATACCCAGGGCCTTGCATATGCTGGGCAAGCACTGTACCACTGAGCTACATTCCAAGCCCCAGTATCTAGTTTCTTAAGAAAATTAAGAATGAATYAGAGTGTGAAGGGTACATTAGTAAAACCTTTAGACTAGGAAACTGGACCCTTAGACCCTAGTCAGAACAGGATAGTCATGTGACCTTGAACAGATCGCTTCATCTCTTTGAGTACTGATTTTATAGGTTCATGGAGTTTACATTAGGAAAACTTTTTAACAACCAACTAGTTTTCCACTAAAATTGAGGCCCAAAGAGATTGTAGGTAAATGTCACATGGGACTAGGTGTTCTTTAAACATCTATAAAATTCTAAAATTCTGTTAGTGTCTTCCTTTGCCCCGGGCATGCCTTTAGATACTTTCTTCTTTATACTCTTCAGTTTATTTTGTTTCATGTTTTAAGTGTGTTCGTATCTATTTTATTAAGCTTTATTGCTTTACTTGGGAAAATGGAAATAGATTAAATAATGTTGAAATTATTTAAATATAAATCTACTAAACACTATTTATCTTGATTATCCTTGATGGCCTTGAAAATGCTATAATAAACTAAGTGAAACTGCCCTGTAAGACACACACACACACAAATCAAAGTAGTTATACCCTCACCATTATATATAGACTATATTTATGATTACATGTAAACTTTCATCATCATGTGAATGATGCTGCACTGATTTGTGTCTTTTTCAGGAGGAATCCTCTAAGGGTTTGGGAAAGAACAAAAAAGTAAAAAAAGACAAGAAGAGGAATGAACATTAAAACCTGAAACTATATGAAAGGTTGATTTGCCTATAATCATATACACATTCCATAGTCATCAAGGAATATAATGTACAGAGAGAATATCCTCGACTGCTCAAGTCAGTCAATTCATTGTGGACACCAGCATTATCTTTTCCTTCTTGGTTATATCATATGCCAAAAATAGAGAACTTATTTTATATTCATCTATGTTTTAGGCTTATTTGGAAGAATTAATCTGAACTTAATCATCACTTCATCTAATTTTAGGAAGGTAACAGTTGCCCAGGGCAGTACCAGAATTAACTGTCCATTTCAGTACATGACAAGTGCCTTTGTTAGGTGGGGAAGAAATGTCTCCAGAGGAATATAAATACCCGATTTCTTGTCATAGGGATTCTCACATTGTTAAATGAATATTGCCTTTTACTGCTCTTTATGGCTTATTGGAATAGGAGCTCATTGAAGATTGATCTTGGAGAGTTTCTTCTTGTGATTTCAGTTCATAAGTATGTCACTTTTCATTTTATAGTGTTCATCATTGAGTAATTGATTAAGTGAAAATCCAGCAGTATCCATCTGCAGTTATGTGTCAAAGTGATAATTCATCTAACATATTTGTTAGCCCTAAGTGTTATGCCTTGATTTCTGTCACAAGTTGGTGATTGTGTAATTTCATGAAGTGATTTTCTAGTTGCAGCCTTTTTTCATTTAATTCTTGTAATGTTAAACAATGAATATGGAGTATCAGTAGGCTCCTTTCATCCCTGAAATGTGTTGATGTAATATTCTGGTTTCTTTTAACAACCCAAAAGTACCTTTCTTGTGATCCTCATTGAAAAATTAGAACCATGCTAGAAGCTATACTATGTTTAATGGGACATTTGTATAATGGGATAGAGGTGTCAGAATGACACTGGAGTAAGGCCATGAGTATGTTATAAATTTGATATACATTTCCCATTAGTGCTGCAGCAAGCTTTTCCAGTTCCATGATTTTGTAGAGAGAAGAGGAACAAATCTTTAAGTTGGAAAACAGAATCCTTTTGTTTTTCTATTCTTAGCAAGTCATCCTTTTTAAAAAAATTAATATTTTATGAAAATTACCTCTAGACAGTAAATTTAACTTTGMGATATAAAAAGTTGTGAACTTTTTCCCTTTCAGATATGATTACAATTGCTAACAGTTACTCAGTCGATCACAGATTTGTCTGGCATTCTCCTCCCAAGGGAGAGGACAGAAATTAGGAGGCAACTTTGAAATGGTACTAGAGCATGGAAAACATCAGAGGCTGGACAGATTTCTTCCTTTTTTTCTTTAATATTTCACCTTTAAAAGTGCCAACTCTTACTAGGGATTTCTAGTAATAATCAAGTAAACAACTTTACACTAGGATGAATTTGGAGATATAAAATCTTATTTTTCAACATTATTTAATGTTATGAGTTATCAAGATTCAAAGGATAACTTATATGTATTTGGAGCACTTACCTTGGTTTCCATGAAATGTTAAGTACGTCCTATGTATTAATTGTTAAAATTATTGAAGAAATTAGAGGCTGTTTATTAACATTAAAATAATTTTACAATATTGGTATGTCAAACCTGAAGGGTGAAGAAATAGCAAGCATTTCCTGCAGAATTACAAATCTGAGTTGATTTTAATTTCTTTGTTGATATTTTATGTAGCATTTATTTGGGTTTTTACAGAAAACAAAACACCTCTTATATGTATTATCTCATTTTCTCTTACTTTAAAAAAATCTTATTTTTGATTTGTTTTACAAAATTACTAACCATATTTTACTGAATAAAAAACCCCCAAATCTCTTTTCCTAAAGTCAGCTGGTAAGAGGAGAGATTTAAAATTCTTCATCATACCCTTCATTAATGGTAGAGTATTTCACAGTCTATCATTAATGAAAACCCTAATGAAATTATGTTTTTATCTCTATTTGAAATTTCTATTAAATAGAGGATTTCTGATTATCCAGATAATAATTTTCTTAACTAGATCTATGCTAATGTTTTGTAGTCTGTTCTGTTAGTTAAAAATAYTCTCCTTATCTCAGTACGTAAAAGCAAGTCACATATACTTTTTAAATGGGGATAGCAACAGCTGTACCAAAAGTATGTTCTTGAGGGTATGGATCATGAAACAGCCTGTTTAAAGAGAATTATGTCAAACTAATCACAACCAAGAAAGAAAAGCATAAACTGGATACTGTTTGCAGGGCAGGTAAAATTTAATGAGAAAATTGTATAATCACTTCTAATTTCACAATAGAGATAATCATTATAAACATTTGGTATGTACATTTATTATTTTTTCTTATGCATGATTTTGTATATATGGCTATTTTTCTTTCCATAAAATGGTATTAAACTGTATATACTGTTTTGTATCCTACATATTTCATATAGAAGTATATTGTTAACATTTTCCCATGTCAATAAATATTCTTCTATGGCTTAACTTCTTATGACTGCATTGTATTCTATCTTCTTGGTATGCCATTATATACAAACTAGTCCCCTAGTTATTTCCAGTTTTTAAGTTTTCTCACCTTTTCACTATTACAAACAAATGTGGAAAACTGCATCATTGTATGCAAATTTTTGTATGCATTTCTGATTATGCCCTTATGAAAAACTAGAAATGGAGTTCCTTGTTCAAATGTTTACACATTCTGTTAGCTCTTGATTGGTTTAACCCAAATTCTCTCTAGAGAAGTTTTATCAATTATACCCCATTAGTATTCTATTAGAATATACTAAGGATTCTATTCAGTAATGTGAGAAAATAGGCAGTCTGCTTGGCAAAACTCTTCATATTCATTTTAAAAAATTAATCTTTGTTTTAAAATAATTTTAGACCCATAAGAAGTTGTGAAAATAGTTTCAGGGTCCTGTGTAACCATAACTCAGCTTTCTCTAACAGTAACATTTTGCAAAACTATACTACATTTTCAAGATCAGGAAATATATTCTAGATAAATTTTCTTTGTTAGATACATGATCTATAAATATTTTCTCTTATTTCATGGCTTGTCATTCTCTTAGCAGTTTCTTTTGCAGAGTGAGGTGAGGTTAATTTTGATGAGATCTAATTAATCTTTTTTTTAAATAATCATTCTTTAGGTGTCATGTCTAAAGACTGCATAACCCCAGTTAATGAAGATTTTCTTTTCTCTTTTTAAAGTGGTACAGCTTTTTTTTTTTCATTTAAATCTACTATCCACTTTTAGTTTTTATATAGGGGATGAAGTTTATTTTTGCTTGCATATGGATATACAATTATGAAAATGATTAATTTTTGAAATTGAATGTTTTATTGAGATATTTTCACAAAGTAAACACAGTTACATAACAAATACATAGAAATCAAGGACAATTTGAGTACCTCCCAATCCTCTTGTTTCTCATCCATTCATTATCTCCTTCCCTTTTTACCAATGATAACTTCTTCCTGACTTCTGATACCAGAGATTGGTTTTGTCTGTTTTGAGATTCAGCTGGGKATTTGTGGGTAGCAGTATTTCTTTCATTCTTATCATTGCATTATGTTCCATTGAATGAACAAGACTCAATTAATTTATTCTGTTTAGAGATATTTGGGTTCTGGATTAAAGCTGTTTCAATTAGTGCTACTATGAACATTCTTATATATGAGTTTTGGTGAATATATGTAAACATTTCTATAGGGTATATGCCTAGGAGTGGATTTGCAAGGTAATAGGATATGTGTAGGTAGAGCTTTGGTAAATACTGCCCAGTGGTGTGCTGGTGTATTTTGACAACTGGCTCTGGGGTGGGTGCTGATTACTAGTTTCTGAGTGTTATATTCCCATTCTGCATAATTTCAGGCAACCAAAGTGAAGTCAGCTAGCTCACATGATACCTAAAAATTTAGCAATTTCTCTGTAAGCTAGTACATATAAACTCCAGCATAGCATTCATATTGGCAAGCAGTTTTCCAAAGTGTTTATACTAGTAGACACTCTTACCAGTGGTAAATGCAAGTTCTAGTCACAATATGTCTGTATCTAGTAAAGCCTTTCTTATTTTAATTAAGCTCTTAAGATGTGTGTGCTGGCATCAGTTTATGGTTTTAATTTGTATTTCCCAGATGATTAATAATGTTAAACACCTTTGATTGCTACATTTTGTATCTGAACTGAGTTACCTAGAAATATTTTTTTCCCCTCTCTTCCAGGAATGGAAAGTTAGGGCTTGTTATCAACTTCAGATCAGATGTAGGGAATTTAATTATACGTTTGCATTTCTGAGGGCCCCCAAACCCATCACCACTCCACTGGTATAATCCAGGAACTTAATCATTTTTTGCCATCACTTTTATAGTTGTAAAAATATGAGTTATACATCTCCCCTATCTAGGATACTAGGATTAAATAAGATGCCTTTTAGGTCTAGGGATGTAGCTTAGTGATAGAGTACTTGTTTAGCATGTGTGAGGCCCTGGGTTCAATCCCCAGTCAGTAACACACACACATACACACATACATACACACCCACATACACATACAAAAGGTTTCTGTGGTGATTAGCATGTGAAAAGAATTCAATAAAGTCTTTTACTTTTAGATAGGCTATTTCTGAGGATTTTAACAGTACCTAGAATTCTAGGTTGGCATTGGGATTACCAAGATCTTCAGCTTCCTAGGGAGATAATAGTGTACAGTAGTTAAGAATCTGTTGGATTTGAATCSTATATCTACTTTTCTCTAGTCTTGCAAGTTTGGGAAAGTTATCATGTTTTTCTGTACTGAGATTTAAAAAGCTTATAAAGCAATTGAGTGACTATCATTGATCACACTTGCTTGCAAATTTTATCTTGTCTTTCGTATTGTCATGCTTGGTAGATGTGGCTCACAGCAAGACAGAACAAAGTCAGGACTAGAAGCTAAGAGGTAAAATAGCACATGTATCTCAGCCAGCCATGGCTTGATATCAAAGGACTACTTAGTTACAGAGAAATAAGGGGGAATTCTGGAATATAGACCAGAGGTTGGCAAGCTTTTTCTGTAATCACTCATATATTAAATGTTTTTGGCTTTATGGGCCATATAGTCACAATTACTCAATTTTGTTGTAGGTTGAAAGTAGCCATACACAATATGTAAATGAATATCATAGTTGTATTTCT